TTTTTGGTATGGTAGTAAGCTACGGCTTACAAGCCACACTGGGGCTCTGCATGAATGCATCCTTGAATAAATCCCAGCTCATTGCACAGCAGCCTGCGGCAGCTAGAGCATGACTCCTCCAATGGAGTCCCCTAATTGATACATGGTAAAAGGGTCCATCTTGCGCTACCGCTTCATTCCCCTGGCCACATATCTCACTCTCTATCTCTCTCTCTCTCGCATAGCAGGCATATGGAGTGCGTGGTTGCCTTGATGTGCACCTATAAACCATATGGGCGCATTGAGTGCGATATGTAAACGCTCGCTCCAAAGATTATCCCTATCTCCCCTACTCCTCTAACTCGATCAAAACTCTAAACCTGGTCTCCCGTTCTCCCTCAGCTAACAGCTCCAATAGAGAAAGCATCCCCCATTATGTAGGTCATATTTGTGCGTTTTTCAATAAAAACATTCCCTGCATTTTAGAAGGGGTGGACGAGTGGTCTCTCGGATACCGTATATAGGAGATATAGCCCGCGACAAAGATGGCACATCAACATTTTTACCAGTTTTAACTACTTTTCTTTTGCTTTTCTTAAAGTTAATTTTTTTTATTAAAGTTCAACTCCGTATCTAACAAAAACCATATAAGTCCAAATTTCAAACATTTTACAAAAATTTAAAAAATTGTCTTCCATACAAAGTAAACTTTTACATGGAAAAGAGTGACACCGTCAAAAAAAAAATTATCAAAGCTCAATGCGATTTTTCAGCAACTTCAAACTGTCACTTAATAGTGCTAGAATTTAATAAGCTATAAAACAGCATACCTAAAATTATTCGAGAAATTAAAATTACAATGCTTGGAATTGGGATGAAAAATTTTTGGAATTTTTATAATTTTTGTACAAGCTCTGAAATTGTTGATTTATATGTTATTTGTTAGATACAAAAAAAATAATGAACATTAAACAATCGAAAGAGAACTACTCAAAACTGTTCAAAATGTTGAGGTGCTATCGTCTTGTCGCAGGATGTGCCTGGTAATTCTTGGAGTGAACTGTAGAACGAAATTTTCTTATAAAATATCGCTAATATTTTGTATACTCTTCAATTTTTAGTAAACATCCAACTTTCTTCTTTTTAAGCCAATATTTACACTTAAAATCGCTCAACAAATCAATGAGCTTAAAATGGTTTAGTCCGAGTAGTTTATGAATAAGTTATTTTATCAATTACCTACTCTACCTGGTGTACGATCTATACTCGATAACTTAAAAAGTCTGCGAAACATGTTTTTTACTTGTTTATTTATTAATAGAAAACGTTAATAAAAACATAAGGTTAGCAAATCATAAAACTTCCGCAATTTGCAATTATCCGTTCAAGTTCAATGCCAATGTTATTAATTCTTAATTACCTCGGCAAAGTTCGCGCCAAGGCGAAAAACTAGCAACGATATCAAAATAACTAGAAAAATAAACCACTGCTGACTTAGCTCAACTACGGTGTGAAAAATTGCGAATTTTCATATTCATACTTATGTATGTATGTACATACATACATAATCATGAACGACTTATCACTCGCTACATGAGGCATTTATCAGCAAATGCCGGCAATAGAATAACGGTCACACCCACTTTTGCTCGATTAGCAACAAACAGCGATCGACCTTGAAGCAGGCCATAATTTTTTTTTTTTTGCGAATACCGGCAGCAGCAATAACTCGTTTAGCTAACGAACTCGTTGTTATGTGGATACATATGTACATATGTATAAAATGACAATAAAAATAATCGTGAATGGGTCAAACAAGTCAAAAAATTTTATAAACAAATCACGAACATGGCGGAATCATACCAGGTGAAGTTATTAGAACGAAAAGAAAGATTTTGACACTGCCTTATTTGAAAAATTGCCTTTAAAATTTTACTAAAAGGCAGGCGAATGTCAGAAAATAAAGCGAGAAAGCTGTTTTATGACTTCACCTATTTAGTGCGCCTTGATCACGAAGCCGAGTTATTTTTATTTTTATTACATATTAGGTGCAATCCCGTATTCCTCGGACTCGGACTAGTAAAACTGTCAAAAAATAAAAATTCGCTCAGAGCGAGAGAGTAACATTGAAAAGTACGGGATCGCTTTCTAGTAAAAAATGGTAACTTCTGTCAACTTCAACATAACCTCCAAATTTTGGTTGTAAATTTTTGCTTATTTTGTATGTAAACACACTCAGCTCACACATGTAAATAACCAAAAATACTTTCAAATTCATTAGAAACGACTTAAACAAGTAATTAAATACTTTCCAACATGAATTAGCAGAGTGCACTTTTCTTTTGTTTACAATTTGGTTGCCAAACACGCTACAGCTGATCGTTTGACACATTTACCAGAATTTACCAGCAAAAAAATTCTCGGACTAAAACTGGTAACTTCTGACAGAGAGAGAACCGTATTTACTCTCTTTTCTGTCCTCTCAATAGTCAGAGAACCGAGTACGGGATCGATTTCCAGTAAAATCTGACTGATTCTGACTGTTTCTGACTAGTCCGGACTCGTACGGGATCGCAACTATTAGGGGTCTTCATCAAAAGTTATAAACTGTTGATAAACTTGAAAAAAGGATAAATTTGTCATTTTGTTCAATGAACTGTCAAACTTTGTATGGAAATCTATTTAACCAAAGTTTATCACTTTATCAAACGTTTTTGTTGGATAAACGTGTAACTTTCAGCCAAATTCAGCCCTGACCGACTTCCAGGTGGTCGATTTTTTTAGTTTTTTATTTAAAGTGGCGTTTTTATTTTTTCTCACTGACGTCAGGATTTATTTTAAAGGACTTTTTAATTTCAAAGATATGATTAAAGGTATCCACACATCTCTGCGATTCCGTCGGAGTTTCTTCTTCTTTTTTGGCGCTGTAACCGCCTAAGCGATTTTGGCCGAGTTCAGCAAAGCACGCCAGTCGTTTCTCCTCTGTGCCAACTGACGCCAATTGGAAACGCCAAGTGAAGCCAAGTCCTTCTCCACCTGATCTTTCCATCGCAGTGGGGGCCTCCCTCTTCCTCTGCTACCACCAGCGGGTTCCGAGTTGAATACTTTCAGAGCTGGAGCGTCGGTGTCCATTCGAACAACATGGCCAAGCCAGCGGAGCCGCTGTATTTTAATTCGCTGCACTATGTCTATGTCGTTGTAAAGCTCATACAGCTCATCGTTCCATCGTCTGCGGTACTCGCCGTCGCCAACGCGTCGGAGTTTACTACTTCGAAAATGCAAGTACGCACACATCTATGCGATGCTATCGCAGTGAAAAATGTCAATTTATAAACAAACAAAAAATAATTTTCGTCAAACAATAAAATGTTTAGCTTTTGCACAATCAACATGTTTTGTTCTCTTACGTTAATTTTTGTTTAAATTGTTAAATTGTACAACGCCGGTCTATTAATATTTTTGGTTCTCCGAACGCGTGGGTCTGCGATTTCGGCACGACGTAAAGATGAAATGTGAATGTTCGAATAAATCGCTGCCGCAAAATCGCACTCATTTAAAACTATGAACGCCATTGTTGTCAGAACAGATTCACACCGACAGAATCGCACAAGTGTGTGGTTACAGCGCCAAATAAGAAGAAGAAGAACTAATACTTCAACTAAAAGTCGGCACGGGTTATCGTTATCCTACGGCCATAAAACTTCATACATGTGCTATTTAGGCTAAAAATTTATATGTTATGTTTTGGAAAGCACGTGTATGAAGTGGTCGCATATGACAAAGAGAGAGATAAAAAGAGATAATGGAATGACTGATGCAAGATTGCTCCAAATTTTAAGCTTCTCATATTAAAAGTTGCAGTAAAAAATAAGTTTTAATTACTACAATTTACTTGCCGATGCCTGATTAAAAAAAATATGTAAAAATTTAATATTTTGACATTAAAATGCATTACTT